GTGCCGTGATGTCACAGCTCACAGCAACCTCAAACTCTTAAGCTTAAGCGATTCTCTTGCCTCAGCCTCCAAGTAGGTGGGACTACAGGCACCCGCCACAACGCCCAGCTATTTTTTTCTTACAGTTGTCATTGCTGTTTGGCAGGCCCTGGGCCAGGTTCAAACCTGGTAGCCCCAGTGTATGTGGCCAGCACCCTAGCCACTAAGCTACAGGCACTGAGCCTATATCTTGAATTAAAAAAAAAAAAAAGCTGTATTTGTGACCAGCCTGAGCAAGAATGAGACCCCATCTCTACAAAAAATAGAAAAAGCAGGGCGCGGTGGCTCAAGCCTAAAATCCTAGCACTCTGGGAGGCTGATGTGGGTAGATTGTGTGAGCTCCTGAGTTCAAGACCAGCCTGAGCCAGACTGAGGCCTCATCTCTAAAAATAGCTGGGCATTGTGGTGGGTGCCTGTAGTCCCAGCTACTTTAGAGGCTGAGGCATTAGAATTGCTTAAGCCCAAGAATTCGAGGTCGCTGTGAACTGTGATGCCACAGTACTCTACCAATGAGATTCTTTCACAAAAAACAAAACAAAACAAAACAAAAAAAGAAAAAGAAAAAGAAAAATTAGCAAGGTGAGGTAGTGTGTGCCTGTAGTCCCAGCTACTCAGGAGGCTGAGGCAGGAGGATCGCTTGAGCCCAAAAGTTTGAGGTTGTTGTGAGCTAGGCTGAGGCCATGGCACTCTAGCCTGAGCAATGGAGTTGAGACTGTCTCAAACAAACAAACAAACAAACAAAAACCAGGTGCCAAAATGTTAATTGCTAAATACAGGTAAAGAGTATATACAGATGTTCATTGTTGCATCATACTTTAAACTATTCTATAGATTGAAAAGTTTTCAAAATAAAATGCTCAAGGAAATGTTACTTTAATCATACCAATAAGGAATAAAATTCTCCCACAAACTATGATTTTATGATATGAAGTTTCAAATTTATCTATCTTACTGTTCTTTAATAAACAGATCAAAAATTTCCCAAACTGTAAATCACAAAGAATTAGTCCTACCAGCAAGGTGGCTTCATGTGCTGAAACCTCCCCACAGGCGCCAATGGCAGCAGGACCTTGCCTCTTTGCTTCTCTGTCACCCAGCATGACAGCAATGGTCTCAGCGAGAGCTTCATTCACAAAATGGCTAATGGTGTCTGAATTCACAGGAACCCCGGCATCGACAAAAAGCTGGAGGGCACCATGGCTTGTTCCTTCCACTAAAAAAGAATACATTTCAGAATAAGGGGGCAAAAAACATGCTTGCAATTCAAACCTTAATTCTTAAAATTTTATAGTTGTCAATATATTTGTATATGAGGGTAAAAAGAGGAATAAAAATGAAAATATGAACATTTCTACTTATTATGAAAAGACTAAGATGACAAACTGCATAACAAACATTCTCTAAACAAATAAGAAGGGGCGGGAAGACACACAGATGAAAGTGTACTTTTATGGCTTCTTCCCTACCGCTACAGAATTTATTTAGTGGGTAAATCTCCTCACTTGGAAACACTCCACATTCCTAAGAGCAAGACAACAGGAAACCCTGTGATAGATTTTGACCAAAACACAAGGATGCAATAAATACGAAGGCAAACCGCTCTTCCTTCAAATTTCAGATGCCTCAGTGATTAATATACAGGTCAATCCTCATCAAACCTCCATGGCAGCTCAGGGGCTTGTTATCTGATGCCTTATCACCATCCCAATTTTCAGAATGGGTTGTACGTTTTACTTATATGAATATACATAAAAGTAAGTAAAACTTCCTTAAGAGACACTTATATACCAAGGTTATGGAACCCTCCAAGTTATCTGTACATGCGGCCAGCATAAGCACAGGGTAGCAAGTTCATGAATTTAAATTGTCAGACCTCATACTGTAGTTTGTTAATCCATTTGCCAGTTGATGGACGTTTACAGTCTTCTAGTCTTTAGCTATTATGAAGAAAGCTACTATGAACAATCGCAAACTACTTTTGGACATACCAAAAGATACATCCAATTTTGCTTGGCCAGGATGAGTAAATGTTTAACTTTATAAGAAACTGCTAAATACTTTCCGAAGTGAGTATACTATTTTGCATTCCACTCAGCTGTGTGTGGCCTTCCAATTGCACCACAGTCTCTCAACACTTCATGTTGTCAGTATTTTTAATTCTAGCCATTTTGAACATATGTAGGGATATCTCATTAGAGTTTTTATTTGCATTTCCCCAATTATACTAATATCTGTATAGTAAAAAAAATTACTAATGGTGTTCTGCAACTTTATGTATGTTTATTTACCATCTTTACATTTGCTTTGTGAAGTAGCTTGTTAAATCTTTTGCCCATTTTTAAACCGGCGTTTGTGTCGTATTTGTTCTGGATACAGACCCTTTACTGAGTGCGTTTTGTAATGTAGGGGTTCTCCTATGTGTGTCTTGCCTTTGTGTTTTCTCAGCATTACCTTTTGAAGACAAAATGAAATACAAGGGTGAGGGAAATAAGCATCACTACAGATGCGCACTGGGAAGGGAAACTGGAGGAGTATACTTTTTGTACCTAGAGAGCTTACTTCACCT